AGCCATATCTCATTTCAGCCCACCCACCCAAATGTTTTGGTGGACTATTCGGCCAGCAGAAGATTCCCAAGGGGAGAAAACAGGCCCTGTGCTCTCCTGCAGATCTGCATGCTTGTGGCAGGAATGGTAGTTTGAGGCATGTGGAGGTCCAATGAGCCTTCAGACCTGTTACTGGAGATCCTACAGGGGCACGTGTGCATACTTCAGGAGTCCAAGAAGTGCAGAGCCCTTCTCTCTATATATATATGTCCCACCATAACGGCAGACATTTTGTTAGAATATACTCATGAGGCTGGGTGCATTAACTTTGCTACAAATGAAAAATTGAACTGAATGGGCTCCTTTCAGATTCATGTTGAAGCTCCTGGGCAATTCAAATGATCCCCTCTTTCTTTCATTCATAGCTCTTTCTCACTGTAGGAGAACAATACCATTTTCTGGCTGCAGCCATTTAATCCTACCAGCATGACCTGTCATTCCAGTGCGTTCTGAGAGGGAAAACAATATCCATGAATAGGGGCTGCCATTTGTTTGGCTGCCATTACAATTTCTCTCTTGAAAATGTCCTAGGATAGCAAAATGTTTGGAGCATTCTGGTAAAAGATGGTGAATTATAGGAGGTGGCTGTTGAAATCAGCCTTACTACCACTGCCACTGCAGATGGTGACAGCAGCCATGAAATTAAAAGATGCCTGCTTCTTGAGAGGACAGTGATGACAAACCTTGACAGCATCTTAAAAAGCAGAGACATGATCTTGCCAACAAAAGTCCACATAGTCAAAGCTATGGTTTTTCCAGTAGCGATGTAGGGAAGTGAGAGCTGGACCATAAAGAAGGCTGACCACCAAAGAATTGATGCCTTTGAATTGTGGTGCTGGAGGAGGCTCTTGAGAATCCCCTGGACTGCAAGGAGAACAAACCTATCAGTTCTAAAGGAAATCAACCCTGAGTGCTCACTGGAAAGACAGATCCTGAAGCTGAGGCTCCAGTACTTTGGCCATCTGATGGGAAGAGAAGACTCCCTGGAAAAGACCCTGATATTGGGAAAGTGTGAAGGCAAGAGGACTGTGCAGTCGAAGTGACCAACATTAATTTGACAAAATCCCGGGAGGCAGTGGAATGGACTGTGCAATCGAAGTGACCAACATGAATTTGACAAAATCCCGGGAGGCAGTGGAAGACAGGAGGGCCTGGTGTGCTCTAGTCCATGGAGTCACAAAGAGTCGGACAAGACTTAATGACTAAACAACAACCACTCAGAGACAGCAGTGGAAGGAAGGAAGAAATTACAGATGAATATGACAAAATGAATAAATAACGATGCAAACATGGTTTCAATCAATAAAATGAAGGAGGCGTTTAATCATGAAAATAAATAGAATCATTTTTAATTCTTAAAAAATGTATGCTCTCTTACAATCAATAGCCATTTTTGTGTGTAAGAGAAGCGTGTTAACATAGCTGTCATTTTAGTGCCTGCTGTTTCAAAACTGTTTCCAGACTCTCCTGCCTCCTGTGGTTACACAGGAGTGGGAGTGTGTAATGCCAACAGTACACCATTTGTCTAAGTACCCAGCCTGCCAGCAAATATTTACAAAGACACCATGTGTGACGTGGCTGGGCACAAAGCTGTGGAAGATGCATCACTGCAACAAATGGCACATCCTTTTACTGGCTCTTGTGCTGGAGGAAGCAAGCATCCTTGATCGGATTGGTTTCTCCTTCAGGAAAACGGCACAAGAAGAATTTGACTTCTAAGGCTTAGCATTGGATTGTTGTCCCCTGAGGACAGTTAGATGGTCTGTAAGCAAATTAAGACCTTCTAGTGTGTTAAGGATAGTACTAAAATGTAGTGTTTTATATTACTGTTTATATTATTCTTGCTACCTACTGCATTTATGGCCTGGCTTTTCTCTGGAGAAATAATGGGGAGTTTCACAAGAAAATTCCTGCTCCATCCTAAGACCAATCCCTGGGAGATAGTGTAAACTGAAGCAAGATGACAGCACAAGTCTATGAAAGGGTGACCACTTATAAAAAAACATGAGACAGCTAGGCATAATGTTTGCACAGGCTGATTTGTATAGATAGGTGCACATTTGGGAAAAATTACTGTAAGAGTCAAAAAGCTGAGGACAACTACCTGTCAGCTGTCCTCTGAGTATCTTCTGTAAGAGCAGCTGACAGGTAGGTGGCAAAGTGGAGAGCCTTCTCTGTGGTGGCCCCATCTATGGAATGAATGGCTACCCTCAGGAGGTCTGACTTATCCTAATATGATTATGTTTTCCATTCTGGCTCTATGGCTTGAAGAGCGGGATGAGCGCCGCCCCCTAGAGTCAGACACGACTGGACAAAAATTGTCAAGGGGAACCTTTACCTTTTACCTTACAATGTTCCGTATTCCTGAGTAAGAGATAGATAATGCCTGAAAACTATTATAAGTGGGCTTACTCCTGAGTGAGCATGTGCTTTGCATGCCTGAATGCTGTTGCAGAGAAGCTTGGTCCTGAATAGACACACAAAAGAATCAAACTTTCTTCAAGCACCTAAACCAAAGCAAGCAAAGATTTCCCAGCACAATCCTGCTGTGAAGCATGAAATAGTTTGGGGTACTAGAAAGAAGCATCTACCATGGGAACTTACCATCTTGTATGATTGGCTGCTTCATCCCTTTTGTTCCTGCTGTGATGCTGCCACAACACAGTTGGTAGGAAAGCAAGATTTTTTTTTTCATAACTCCTTCCTCCAAGAGGTTAGGTGACCTTCCTCTCTTTTTTGGTTCTACCAGCATCAAAGACACTCCTCTTTAAACATGCATTGTTTCAGTGGCTGCATCATCTGCTTTAGTGTTGGTCTGTTTGTTGGTATTGTTTCCTGTGGCTCAGTGTGCAGCTACTGTGTTTGAGTTCATATGTTTTGCTTTCAGTGATACATATTTTTTTTTCCTTTTAAGAGAAAAAGCAGGCTGCAACTTTTCTTAAATACTGTATTTCTTGGCGTATAATACTATTTTTTTGCCCTGAAAAACATGCCTCGAAGTGTGTGGGGGGGGGTTCGTCTTATACGCCGGGTGCACTTCAGTTGGGATAGACATAGCTGCCCATAGTGGCCTTCCAATGCTCGCCCGGTGCCCATAGTAGCCTCCCGATGCCTGCCCACCTCATTCTACATACCGTCCAGTATCGCGTGGTATCCAGCATGGCCGCGGCAAGCATCAGCAGCGAGACAGGGGTGCCAGCCTTTTCAATGTGATCGGCCCGTTCTGCTCAGCGGGAAGCAGCGGCGCTCCGGCCTGCCCCTTGTCTACGCAGAGCTCACACATGCACACTTGTGCACTAGTGCCGGTCACAGGGAGGTGCAGGGGTGAGCCGAAGGTGCTGTGGTCGCGCTGCAGCCGTACAATGGTGACAATGAATAGCACCTTTTATTTGGTGTGTGGAAGGTGTGTGGAAGAGGGGGTAGTCTTATACGGCGAGTATATAACAAACTATATTTTGAGTGGAAATGTTGGGGGGTCGTCTTATACGCCCAGTCATCTTATACACTGACAAATACAATGAATAACTACTGAAGTACTGAAGAACATCTACCAATAATTCCCAATAAAGAGAGAACAGCCCTCAAATTGATGGCAAAATGTATTTGTTTGAGACTGCAACTGTGTGGTCAAGTACCACAGGATTTGCTCTGTTTATAAAGCATTCGGATTCAAATTATTTTTTACTGATCAAACAACACAAAGGCCAATTGAAATTGATTCAGCTCCTTTAGCTCCCATTGCTGCTTCCCCCCCCCCCTTTGCCACTGGAGGTTTCTACTTTTTTCAAGCCAAAACAATCCAAATAATTTTTTTCCCTCTTGTAATCAGTTGTTTCATTTTCATAAAGATGGGGAGCATGCCCAGGGGTGGCAGTTCAGTGACATAGGCAGTTGGCATGTGATGTTGGAAACTGTAGGAACAACTTCTGCTGTGTTCTTTCCTCCTGATCATCCTCCATTTAAAAAAAAATACATATATGAGATTAACATTACATCATCTTATGAAGAATATTGATAAAAAGTTTAGTGCTAGATCACTTCCAGATGAGAATTTTTTAAAACAAGAACAACAACCAGACAAAATAAAAGACATCCTTGTGGTATTTGAAATTTCTGTACATTTTAAGAAAAACTTTGGGACCCTGCCATCTTTTCCAGAACACTGTTCAACCCTTTCAAAACTGGGTGGCTTGACAGTGAACCATCAAAGGATCAGCAGAGGCAGGACCAGAGGAAGGGAGGAAAGAAAAGGTGTCTGTGGGCTGATATGTGAGCCGCTTTGGGTCCCTTGTTGGGAAGGCGTCTGTGGGCTGATATGTGAGCCGCTTTAGGTCCCTTGTTGGGAGAAGTGCGGCATATAAATAAAACAAATACATCATAAAATAAAATATGTGAATTGTATTGCATCAAGTGTGAACACTGAACTTCTGAATCAATCAAAGCCACTGTGTACTCGCTGACAGCAAATTCAACCATAATATGGGCTGTGAATCAAATTGCAGTGAAGCCAAATTGGGGCAGTTTGGCTTGCCTAAGTCAAGATAAAGTTCAATGTGGTTTTGGTTCACTTTTATTTGGTGGCCTCATTCAGGGGTTATAAGACATCCTATCTTCCATAAAAACAAGCCTCTCTCCCAATAAAGCCAGGCCAAAACATGCTAGCCTTGTGCTGGAGTAAAACAAATATGTTTCAGAAGAAAAACAAATCTGTTCTTGAACAAAAACAAATCTACTGTACTCCTCTAGCATTAAGATTACCTTTCTTTAGTGAGGATCAGTTGGTTTCTTTTTATTTTGGGCTATTAAATGTTCTTTATTATGCTTAACCCATTCATTAGTCTAATTAAATGGTGGGGTCTTCTGGTTTTGCTACATGGATGGCTTGAAGGTGAGCTTGTTTCTGTGAGTCCTCATTTCTTTCCAAAATTCCAAGTGTTGTGTGTTCTCTTTCCCCCTCACAGACTCTCTTCCAGAGCCCCGATGAAGGCTGGCAGGTGTACACCTCCGCTCAGGCCCCTGATGGCAAATGTCTGTGCACGGCTGTCATTCCTGTCCAGGGAAGTTGCTCAAGGGACCTGCGCAGCCGGCAGCTACGGCAGCTGATGGAAAAAGTAAGTGAAATGTTTCTTATCTAGAAGAAGGGAAGACTGTGCGCCATGGGCTATTTCCACATTTCACACAAGCAGTATTGTGAGAGCTGAGCCAATTTTGGACTACGAGATAGTCGGCGCAGGGCCCGAGTTCATCATCTCCTTTATCCAGCTTCTCCTCCAAAGAATTCGGGCTCATTTACAAGATTTCCTTCCCCCCAATTTATCCTGAAAATGTCCCTGTGACTGACCTGGGATTAATCAGCTGAACCATGAGCTTCATGAGAGAGTGGAGGTTGGAACTGGGACCTCTCCTGGTCTTGTTCAGCATTCCAGCTCTCATGCCACAGTGGCTTTCACCTACATCCACTGGTGTTCTACTGGTACTGTGTTTTTCTACTATATGAAAGATCCACACAAATTTTTGTCCTCTTTTGGACTTGGCAAGATCCATCTGTCCCACAACAAAAATCAACTTTATCTTTAGTTGTTTCAGCAGCTACATTGTCATCCTTCTGCAGGCGGGATGCTGCTGCTGTATCTATCAAGCTACAGTGATGCCTCACTAGACGATGATAATCCGTTCCACTGAAATCACTGTTTAGCGAAATCATTGTCTAGCGAAAAGCATTTCCCTATTGGAATGCATTGAAACCTGTTTAATGCGTTCCAATGGGGAAGAATTGTCGTTGTCTAGCGAGGATCGGGCATAGGAAAGCCGATTTGCGAACCGCTGATCAGCTGTTTAAATAGTTGTCTTGCGAAGCTTAGGTCCCAAAAGCACCCGTTTTGTGAGTGTGGAGAGAGCTGTCAAAATCGTTGTCTAGTGAAAATTGGTTTGCAAAGCAGGGACCAAACATTGTCCAGCGAAATTCCCCCATAGGAATCACTTTTTTGCGAATCGCTATAGCGATCACAAAAAGTCAATGTCTAGCAAAAAAAAACCTGTCATGCGGAGTAATTGTCTAGTGAGGCACCACTGTATTTATTTGCTCCACAGCTTCATACTAAAAAGGCATGCAATAAAATACAGCTGACAAGCAAAGTCTGGGTTCAGGTATAGAATAAAAGCAGATAAAGTAAACAAACAATTAAAATCATCAATAAGGCAAATATCCAACAGGTTGGACCCTACACCCTTCAGTGGCAGACCAACTTACATGTCTAAAGCTTGTTCAAATAAAAATGACCACCATGAGCTGTCCTACCTGCTGAATCACAGCTATGTTGTCTTCTCTCCTTCTTGGTTGCTCTGGACAGCCTTTTGCTTCATTCCAATTCCAAGGTTCCACAACAAAGCTTGGACTGTACCAGTTCTTTATGTCCATCAAGATCCCCCAAAAATTGCCAGTCCCATTGTGAAAACAAAAGCATCTAGTTGTGCAGGTCTATGGCTTGAGTTGTAATATTAAGATGCTATTGTTGCTTTTGATCCATCAAGACAAAAATTGCCAGTCCCATTGTTAAAACGAAATGGGAAAGCAACTAGTTGTGCAGGTCTATGGCTTGAGTTGTAATATTAAGATGCTATTGTTGCTTTTGAAAGTAATGCAAAGTAACTGCTTTAGTTGCTTATGGGAAAATAATGTTTTTCAAAAAAGTATGATAGCAAAAGTTGTTTGCATTATCAAAATAGAGAATCGGAGTTTGTCATCTTTTGTTGTTTTTTCTCATGTCCAGCAAGTCTAGCATCCATTCAGGGTCAAACCAGGTACATGATGAGTAGAGTTTGACAGGTTGCAGGACACTCTCTGGAGTGTCAGGAAATCACTGTTTCTCTGGACGTTGAGGCCTGAAAACTGATCTCAAGGGAAACAGTCCCTGAAGAGGAGAAAATTTAATTTTTGTTAGTGAGGTGGCTTTCATGGGCCCTTATTGCCAACTTTTCCCAGCTGGCATTAGGGCTAACTGGCTCGCTGTGAAGCTGTATGCTATGTTTGCATAATGGTGGTGTACCATAAAACCAGGAGTAGGGAGGGAGGCGACTGAGGAGAGAGCCAGTGAGCGCACACACTTGTTTCCCTGGTGTCGTTTGGAGCTAAGTGTGAAATGGAGCACCTCGTGCCTAGGTCCAGGTGACCCAGAAGCAGTTCTAGCCCTGCTCAGAACCCATGGATGCCTCACTCTGTGACACCACAAATGGCTGCTCCCAGGTTTCAGCTTTTGGTTCTGAAATCTCAGGAAATGGAATGAAAATGCCCGGCAACCCTCATGTGAGCCGAATTTGATGACTATACACCTTTAAATCAAGCTTCTCCTTCCACCAATGTTTTCCTGTAATGTCATGCAGTACTTGAGTAAAAGATCTGCGCTCTTGAAAGGCTGCACATTTTCTGATTAGCCAAATGAAAGTATGAACCACAAGATGCACTTCAGAGTTTGAAAAATGGCAACTTCAGCAGTAAGACGTAGGAATGTGCCCTGGCCCACTGATCTCATTTGTGCCCAACTAACGGCACCCTGATTATTGTCTGACGTGGCCCATGCCCTTTTTAAAGACATGCCTACCCAGTCTAGAGAGCTGGATTGTTTGTGTCCCCCACCCCAAAACACACTAGTGACTTGGAGAAAGTCCTGATCTTACTGGTAAGCCTAGTGCCTTCCTAAGATAGTCACAGTGAAGGGGAGCAAGGGAGGGATTTTATAGGCATGGTCCTCTTTGATTCCTTTTCAAAAAGGGCAGTGGAGGGAGCCTGTTCTACCATCACACCACCTAGAAGAGAACCTCACCCTGTTCTCTTTCCCAGCTTTCTCTTCTGCCATTCATCAGAACAGCAAATAAGTTTATTCAAGAAGAATCAGAAACCTTCCACTCCTACATTTGTACTTTCTGTCCTCTCTCTCCCTCTCCCTCCCCCTCCCCCCTTTCTTTGCATCTTCTTTGCTGGATCTGAAATCTGTCATTCCTACACTCTCCTCACACTATAGCTCTGGTTGCAAGGTTGCATGCAGGACATTGAGTGGCTGAAGGACCATGTTAAACGGCAGAGTCTGGTGATTTAATCAGTAGTTTTTGCAACAGGAAAAACAAGGATGGTTCATTTCTAAGGTCAAGCACACACTTTCCTTTTCCCCTGGCACCAACTCAGTGTCTCTTTTAGCCTCTGTTTCCCTTTCCCTGCTTCCAATCCCGTCACCAAATGAGGAATGGAAACTGGTGGGAAAAAAAAACCTTCAGCAATTTAAGACATGAAGATGACACCAGGAAACAGCAGTAATTAGAAGTGACTATCAATGAAGGTTAAAGAAGAAAGAGCAAGAGCAGAGCAAAATCTTGGGAGTGTGCAGCTTGCCCAAGGCCACACAGGCTGGCTCGTCTCCTAGGAGGCACAATGGGAGAACCGAACTTCTCACCTCTGGCTCCATGGCCAGATTACCTACTGTAAGCCACTGAGCTATCCAGCCACCTTTTTTTAATAGGGCCACCCAAATCGGAAGTAAGTTGATGATGCATAACAACAATCGTGCCATGACTTTTTTCTGTTGCAACCTGATGAATTGCACAAATATGGATTCACACCCACCTTTAATTGCTGCTTCCCCCTCCCCTTGCCTTTTTGCTCCTGCTGCATTTAATTGGAACCCAGGCGCTTTGATCCTTGCAGGTGCCACATTTTCATTCCTGGAGACAATTTTGCTTCTTAGGATGCAAGGCAGATACGTTGTGGAAGCTTCCTCCGTCTCACCTTCTTCCACTTAATGAGATGCAAATGGTCCCTTTATTGCTCCGTGCGGGAGCAGCCTCATGGCAGGATGAGCAGTAAATCCCCCTCCTTGAGATTAATTGCGTTAAAATCTTATTACAAGGAGAAGACGGCTTCTTATTGACTCCGCACGTGCAAATAAAGTATTTATTAGCCAAATAAGGATTGGGCTGATTTACAGTTGCAATTACCAAAGACGACTTCACAAGGGAATCTCGGAGAGGAAAAAGGCCAGTCTGGGAAGCTCCGCTTTTTTGTTGCTTTGAAAGCATCAAAATAGGGCAAGGATGCGCAAGGTGTAGGCTCATATGGCACATTTGCATACAAGCTGTTTGGCAGAACCTTTGCAGCAAATTATATTTCTACTCATTTCTCTTTCTGGGAGAAATGAGGTTGGAGATAGGATTGGTGGATATAGCCACCTACGACTTTGAGAAAGTGAGAAGAATATGGAAGGAACCAAGCACAAACTCACTCTGTCTGTCTGTCTGTCTGTCTGTCGGTCTGTCTGTCTGTCTATCTGTCTAAAAAGTAATATGCCTTCTCCCAGGAGGTTACAATCAATCAGTAAAAGCACAACTTTTGCAATAAAACCAAGCAGATAAGCCAAAACGGATTCAGAATGCTAAAATATCAGAGGCCAGAGTGTATCTATCTATCTATCTATCTATCTATCTATCTATCTATCTATCTATCTATCTATCTATCTAAAAAGTAATATGTCTTCTCCCAGGAGGTTACAAGCAATCAGTAAAAGCACAACTTTTGCAATAAAACCAAGCAGATAAGCCAAAACAGATTCAGAATGCTAAAATATCAGAGGCCAAAGTTCTACTGGTGTTTTTGTAGGGCTGAGTAACTTGTTGCAGAGTTCTGGATATTCTGGTTAAATTCCTTTAACTGTGCAGCAGAAGTGCAGGGACTCACCGAGGAAAATTAGCTGCAGGTTCTCCAGAGCAGTCCACCCGTTTTTCTCATTAACTGGCACTTAAAGTCTCTGTAACTCACTGTGAGGCATTAATAGTAGACAGAATACAAATAATTTTCTTTACTTACATTTGAACAGATCAAACAACAAACTAATAAACATGGCTGCTTTCAGCAAATAGTCTTCAACAAACTCATTGACTCCAACAGACGAAATGGGGTGGGGGGAGGAAGCAGAAAAAAGAGACAAGGCTCTTTTTGAATTCAGAGGCAGGAGGGAACAATTGGTTAGTGCTGGTTGAGAGTCATCCCAGACCAGAAAGTTCCCTACTAGAGGCAGCATATGAGGTTGCAAAAACACTAAAATAACTTGCCATGGCTAATTGCACC